CAATGCAATCCAATCAAGATGGTGTAAGAAAAAGCGTCCATTGGTAGGGGATATCACCAACATTTCTGACTGTACAAAGCCATCCATATTTTGAGAGACAGACATCTATTAATGGCATTGCACTGAACTTCCAATTGTAAATTCTGCTCTAACTTTTTTGCGCTAACTTGTGGCACACTCTTATCTCTGTAGATTTATTGTTTTTTTGGGGGGGGGAAGGATAGATTAAGTTTTCATATCTACAAAAGTTACTATTTCCGTTACCCAAAAATAATAATGATATTTTGACTGTGGTGTAGAACAGGGTTGATCAGTTTTACAAGTAATATCTTTCAGTTCTATTAGTAATTATCACAATTCTATCTAATTACTAGTTTGCAAAACCTACTTAATGTATTGTTTGGATACCAGATCACAATTTAAAACATTATCTGCTAACTAACATCCTCTCTTTTCAACATAGAGCAAAAGATGTGTTTTTGGCATCAAATATAAATTGCAAAAAGCATAAAATATCCTTAGCCCATGATTTGTTTTTATGAAGTCTATGGACTCATTTCACATTTTCTTCATGGCAATATATTAAAAAAAATCAAGCCATTTCTCTTTACCATTCTTAGAAAACACATGATGAGCAGTCAAGAAGCAAATTGCTAAAATACCTATACTTAAAATAGTATTGAATTATGACCAAGTTCACATTTATGGATTATAAAACAGAGCACTATATGCTACAAAGCGCATTTTGGGGGAAGCCCTCCTCCATCTCCTCTAAGCTTATTTAAAAAGGCAGGAGAGAAGAAGTCCAGCTAAGTAACCCAAGCTCTGTTCTTAACAGTGTTGCCAAAAGGTTATTCTTTATTATTTAGTTTTAATTTCAGCATTAAATCACCTTGGCTGAATTTATATGAAGAAACTATATAAAGACATAAGTCAGAGTAGCAAACATTCCTTTCCCAGCTTTCCAGCCATCCTCAGGTAGGACCTGAGTTTTCTACTTTTAGGGTATCGATAAGTGTGTTTTTTTGTTTATTTAATTAGTTTAAAGCAGGGGTGTCAAACTGCCGGCCCGCAGGCCAGATACGTCATCTGGAAGCCACGCCCACCCCATTGCCGGCAATGCAAAACCGTCCCAATACGCTACGCGACGTCACGTGATGTTGCGAGTTTGACATGTCTGGTTTAAAGGATAAAGCCAATAAAATTATTGAATTTGAAAAGTGAATATGTAAAGCATTGTATGATTCAGTGGGCAAGGAACTTTGGATATAATGTTAAGCTTGAACAATGGGAGAATATGTGAACAAAAGGCTTAAAATTACAATTTAAAAGAAAAATTGTATAAGATGATGTATCAATGGTATTTAACACCAGATAAGTTATCAAGTTATCAAGAATGTATAAAGGTATTTCAAATGAATGCTGGAAATGCAAATGTAAAGAAGGGACATTCTATCATTTATGGTGGACATGTGATAAAGCAAAGAAATATTGGAGTAGGATTCATATTCTAATACAGAAGATTCTCAAAATGAATATAAAGATAAAACCAGAAACTTTTCTTTAGAGTTTAATGGAAAAAGACTTGGAAAAAATTTGGAACTTTGATGTTATATATGTTGACAGCAGCAAGATTACTTTATGCACAAAAATGGAAGGATGCTTCAATCCCCACAATGGATGAACAGTTGCAAAAGCTGATGGAATTAGCAAAGATGGCTAAATTGACTCCTTTGATAAAAGAAAAAAACACACAAGTACATTTGTTTCTTCTTGGAAATCACTCATCTGGACTTTGTGCTTGAGGTGGAAAAAAATGAAACTCTGATTTTCGGTTTTACTGATTAGGTAGTCTTAGGTAGTCTGCTGTTATAGAAATGGCTAGTTTATACTATTATGTAAAAGTAAAAAGTTGAGCTTCAGAATTACTTCTTATTCAACTGTACCAAAGGGAGTCGGAGGTCAATGCCTTTTCTTTCATTTTCCCTCCTTCTCCACACTTTTCTCTTCCCTTTTCCCTCCCCTATTTTTCCTATTATTCGCTTTTGTATTTTTGTATTATATATTACAAACTAATAAAAAGAAGGGATAAACTGAGTACTTTAACTTGCACACCCTTTCATCCTTTAAGCAGCCTGAATCCTCATTAAGCAACAGGTACTGGTCCTATCCACTTTTGGAGTACAGTTCTCAAAATGCTATAGAAGATTTACTGGAGCTCTCAAGCATAGGGAAGTTGTTCTCTCCATCAAAAAAATGCAGGTGCTCAACAGCCTTGAACACTGCAGGAGGGGATAATTAATGCTACCAAACATTTTATAATTCTTTCTGAATAGGGTTTTAAAGCTTGTGAACAATGACTACAGAAATCGTAAATTCAATGAGCGAGCTTAGTCAAAAGTAATTCCTAACAGGTGACTGCAGCCTGAATTTGTAATCCTATGTACCAACCTAGTACTCTCTGCTCCATACTGTCCATCATAAGTTTCATTTCACTCAGGAGAACTTTTGAGCAGATTGTCCTGAAAGGGTTTTATATTTTCAGGCTACAATAGCAATAGCATTGTAGACTTATATACCATAGCATAGACTTATATACTGCCCCATAGTGTTTTACAGCACTTACTGGGCAGTTTACAATGTCATACACGTATCTAGAAATAAGCTTCATTAATAGAATAGGGCCGTGGTGGCAAACCTATGGCGCGCGTGCCACAAACGGCACGCGGAGCCGTCCCTAGTGGCACGTGAGCCATTGCTGGGCTGAGCTGCTTCCCTCCTCGCTTTGTGCATGCAGTGCTTCACGCTCTGCGCATGCGCAGCTCTTCATGCTCTCTGCGCATGCACAGCTCTCCAGGGGGTGGCTGTTTGGTTTTTATTCCCCTCCCATCTGCTGGGTTGTTGCAGCAGGTTTTGGTCTCTTCTGTCATGCTTTGAGGTTACACACGAAGCACGTTTGTTTGGGGGGGATCCCCACTCTGGTTGCTAAGCTTGCTTAAACCCTCTTCCACCTCCTCCTCCTCATCGGAGCCCCCCTTTGTCTGCCCACCCATGGTACCATGAGTACCATAAGCACACCCACTTGGTAGCCGTGACCACGCCCCTGGCACTTGGCTATGTATAAGTAGATTTCAGGTTGCAGTTTGGGCACTGGTCTCAAAAAGGTTCGCCACCACTGGAATAGGGTTTAGTTTTGTGTCAGCAATCGTATAATAATGGTTTAAGCTACCATGAGATAACTTTTACTACATAAAGCATAAAGCTATGAAAAAAATTGAAACAAAAACAAAATATTTTGTGATATCAGATTTTCTTCATTTCCTTCTCCCTGATGGACTTCCAAATCTATTATGAAGGATACAAAGTTAGGAGGCAGAATTCTATCCACTGAGATATGTTAAGATGTAACCGGTATTGATAAAGCTGTAAATAAGTTTCAATGAAGTTTGAAAACAAAGTATTGCATATTGTACTCTTTATCTGTCTATCTAACTACCTGCCCACCCATCACATTATTTCCTTTCAGGATAAAGAATTTTATGCAAAGTGCAGAAAAAAGTGCAAGGAATGGTAAACTGAGAAAACTGAGGCACAATATAAGAAAAAGAAACATTGCCAAACTGAATTTTTACCAACACCATTCATTATACTTCATACTCCTCTATGCAACCATCTTTGCTTCTACTACCTCCATACACTGTTTCATATATAGCTCTTCTCCTTTTGAGGAGCTCATCAACTCCATCTAATTGCAACGTTATTGGTCTTGCAGTTCAATTTTCATTCTCTTTATCTGACTAAACCACTTCCTTCATACTGGACACATTCCTCTGTATTTCATTCAGCACCATTCATACGTGATTCATTCTCTTGTTTTATTGCATGCATTTCTTAAATACATCAAATCTACTGTGTTTAACTTACTTTTCTATTTTACCTGACACACTGTTGTACTGTATGAAAGATTAATATTTTCCCTAAAAATGTTAAGTCTAAAACAAACAGCGCAGTGGCCAAATGGTTAGGATGCTGGGCTTGTCGACCCGAAAGTTGACAGTTCAAGACCTAAGCACAGCGTGACTGACTGAGCTTCCGTTATTTGCCCCAGCTCCTGCCCACCTAGCAGTTTGAAAGCATGCAAATGCAAGTAGATAGATAGATAGCACTTCAGTGGGAAGGTAACAGCTTTCCATGTGCCTCAACATATAGTCACGCTGGCCCAAAGCATCTTCAGACAATGCTGGCTCTTTGGCTGTGAATCAGAGATGGGCCCTGCCCACTAGAGGCGGACACAACTGGCAGGGGAAGCCCTTATCTTTTTTAAAACAGTGGTGGTATCTTAAGATATGAGTGATATGGCAATAGAGGCTAATAGATAACTGTGCACAATTATTTAAGGTTACTGTAAATATTTGTTTTTTCAAGCTTTCTAAAAAAAGTTTCTGAGGGAAAAAATCTTAATGACTGAATTTTCTCTAATAATCCAGTTCACCGTGTGTACATTCATTTATTATCTTTGGTTTTAGTTGTTCTTACAGAATGGTATTAGAATAGATGAGTACAACCAGAGTTGCTGAGAGTTGGGCAGTGTAAAAAAATTAATTAAAAAAAATATTTTTAAAAAAGCTAGGTTAAGGACTAGATTGAAAGAGATAGTATTGCTAATTCAGTTTCAAGTAACAGAAAACTGAAAGAAGGGGATGCAGAAACTTCTTGTAATACTGGACTGGCCAGTATGGACATTTGTACGTAGCAGTGGGATGAAACTGACTCCCATGAAAACATTACTAAAACTATGCCTAGTACTATATATTAAAATTAAAGCTATTTTATATGACTAAGAGTACAACTCCGCATAGTGATAGTATTTTTTTCCCCCTGAACTCCACTATTACAGCTGTAACAGACATATACGCTAGTGACAGACTTTTTAGCCAGGATTCAAATATAAAATTAAAAAGAAACCTATTTAAAGGTTAATATTGTAAATCTTTGCCTACCTGAAATCCCATTCTTGCTGGTGTTCAATAAAGCTACAGAAGGTGCAGAAACTCTTTTATTATTCACAGCCTGCCCTGGTTTCCTTGAGGTACATTCTTCACTATCGCTGTCCTGTACGTTTAGTAGCCTTGGTTGGAAACACTGCAGTCGACATGACCTGATATTGCTTAGTATTTCAGAAAGGGAAAGTTTATTTCCACAATGTTTATTGGAAGCATTGGTCCGTGAAAAATTAGAAGAAATGTCTATATTTTGGGAAGAGCTCGAACAACTATTCAGCATATCTGGATCAATCTGCTTCAGGACAGGATCATTTTCTGTGCCTATCCGGTCCATTAGTACCCTGATTTTAAAAGAAATAAAAAATAAATGTTACCAACAACCTAAAAGACAAACACTTGCACTAAGTATTCAACTGGAGGGAAATATCTTATTTTACCTTCCACCTCTTCCAACTCGTCTCCTTGCAAATCCTATACATCTTCTTGGAACTGTAAGCGTTGTGAGACAATGTCTGTATCTTAGCTTATCCAATTCTGCCAGTTCTGAATTTTCATGAGAATAATTCGTTTGGTCCAAATGAGCCTAGAGAAGAATGAAGTGAAAATTGATTGTTGGCTGATTTCATTTAAAAGAATTATGTGGCCGCCCTTCTTAAGAAACACAGTTCTGGGGGACCTACAACAATAAAACCCAAAAACAAGAAAAGCAGAAAAGCAAAAACCTGGCACCTCAGCCGTTCTCCTCTGATGCATTCAACAAAACCATCCTCCAAGCTCACCTATCCTAGCACTTGGAGGAAGAGTTGGTTCTTTATAGCCTTCTAGACCAGTGGTGGCAAACCTATGGCACGAGTGCCAGAGGCGGCACTCGGAGCCCTCTCTGTGGGCACACACGCCGCCACTCCAGCCCTGCCTCCCTCTGCAGCCCCCTCCTCACCAGCAGCCCCCCGGAGGAGAGTCTCCCCGGGTGCGGCCTGCGTGGAGCAGCGCAGCCAAGCACATGGCAGCTGGGCAGCAGATGATGCTACGGGGCACAGGCGGAGGGCGTGGCCACCATGGTGCTGCAGGGCCACCTGGACGATCTGCGGTGGGCCATGAATGGCCCTGGGGGGGGCGGGGTGAGGGCAGAGCAGGGCGGGGGTGGGTGGACGGGCAGAGCGGGGACAGGCCGGGGGCGGGGTGGTTTTGGGGCACTCGGTCTCTAAAAGGTTCGCCATCACTGTTCTAGACTATGAGAGTGGAGGCCTGCTAAAACCTGGGGGGGGGGAGGTTGTTCCACAGGGTAGGGGCTACTATGAAAAAAAAGCACACTTCTGAGTCCCGCTACAAGGCAGTGTTTAAGGGAAGGGACCTGGAGTTTGCCCACACTCTATCTGACTTGGTAGAATGGGCAGATATTCTCAGTGAGAGTTGGTCCTGCAAATAACCTTGCCCGTGGCACGCAGGGCTTTAAAGGTGATAACCAGGCCTTTGAATTGCATCTGGAAAGAGACTGACAGCCCCTGCGTTCCCAGAACAGTGATAAATGTAGTCTTTGAATTACAACCGGCTGTTTAACGACCAAAGTTATGACGGTCTCAGAAAGGCTGCTTTACAGGCTGCAAAGCACTTCTGGCTATCATAAAGCATCGCGCTCCTCCCTCAAAGTCACATGATGCTGAACTGGGTGCTTAGCAACCTAGTCACGCTTAGGAAAGGGCTGACAAGTGCCCCACAATCACGCAATAGCCATTTGCAATCTTCTCCGCCAGCTTCCTCAGAAACTCAATAGGGAAGCTGGCAGGTAAGACTGCAAGCTGCTAAGAAGACTCCCTCTCTTTTCTGGGAGCTGATGAAAAGAGCTGCCTGCCGGGGGTAATCTTAGCTCTGCGTGACTCTGAGATTTCCTCCCCTCTCAGAATTGAGATTTCGAGCCTGATTAAGGATTTCCCCTCCCCTTTGTCTGCTGCAGAGAAATCTTTCGTTGGGTTTGAGGAAGGGAATTAAAATCCTGACTATTTTTTTTTTCTTTTCCTGCAGCACAGTGTAGATTCCCCCATCCTATAGAACGGGGCTTTTCAACCTTTTCATCGATTGTACCACTTTTAGAATATGGCAATATTCAAGTACCACCTAGCAAGGTGTCAAAAACGTGACAAGGAAAAAAGTGATAAAGTACAGGTAGTCCTTGACTTACAACACTTCGCTTAGTGACTGTTCAAAGTTACAATGGCACTGAAGTGACTTATGACCATTTTTCATACTTATGACTGTTGCAGTAGGCCCAGGGTCATGTGATTTATATTTGGATGCTTGGCAACTGATTCATATTTACGATGGTCACAGTGTCCCAGGGTCATGTGATCCCCTTTTGCAACCTTTTGACAAGCACAGTCAGTGGCAGGGCTGCTGGTGGCCAAGTGCTAAGGCGGGACTTCCTTCAGATCCTCCCTCCCTTTCATTCCAATCTCCCTCTGTCCTCTCTTCCTTCCTGTTTCCCTGCCTCCCTCTTTCTCATTCCCATCTCCTTCCTTCTGAAGGAAGAATTTGACACCCCCCCCCCATATTTTCCCTCTTCCATATATTTATCAAACAAGGAAAAGCCTCCAGAGACAGAAAAGACAAGCTGCTGAGGGAACTAGCTTAAAAAGGTGCATTCCCCTTTAAGAATTAGCTTTTGGCTGGAAAGGAAAGTTAAGGAGCTGGCAGTTGGCGCTTAAGGAAACAAAAAAAAACAAAACCAAATGTAGCAAGTACTGGCTGCCAGCTAAGGCAGCCTCCCCAAATGGCTCCATTCATAAGTAAACATGCTATAGGCAAAATCCATTCAGGACAAAAATACTTCAAAATCCCTTGCAGCAAAACTTAGAGCTAACAATAGCAGAGCAATAGAATTAGAACCAGTAACCCCTCACCCCAAAATCCAACACAGGACGTAAGCCATCAGCCACAATAGAAATTGCCAAACATATTGCACAAATCCCAGAACTTCAAAGTCACAAAATCACATAAGAATCCTTTCACTCTCCATTTGTTGTTCAACTGATCCAGAACCGAACTGCTGAAACAGCACTTCACTTCTGCCAATAAACATCTCTCGAGCAGCTGCCTTCCTCTCGTCTATTTCAAATGGTGGTGCTTCATTTTTTTTCTTTTCTCTTAAAGGTATAGCCTCCCGGCTGGAAAGCAAACCCCCAGCTTTTTCTTCCAACACTTCCTTCCTTTCTGTTTCCCTCCCTCCCTACTGCTCTCTATCTCCCTCTTTCTCATTGCCATCTCCTTCCTTCCTTCCTCCTTCCCTCTGTGCCTCGCCTCCAGCCAATGGTGCCTTTTTTCATTCCTCGTGGAGGGCAACCCCTCCCCCGCTGTGTTTCTTGCCTGTTTGTCGCTGCCACCTGTGTCTGCGCCTGGCATGGATGGCCACAGAAGTTGTAGATCGGCTGCCGGCCAGCCTGTTTGATCTCCTCTCCTCTCTCCCCCTCCTCCTTTTCCCTTCAGTGCAGCTCCAGCTGACTCCTCTTCCCAAGGCTGCGTCTTTTTTTTTCTCTCACTCTCCCGCCCAAACTGCCTCTCCTGTCTCCAACCCCCTCCTCCTCTTTTCTCTTCCAGGTAAGCCGAAAGTACCGATCCTGGGGCCTTTGCCTCACCCCAGCAGCCCTGCAGCTCCTGAGGAATCTCTCACGGCAAGTCCTGCACTGCACCGCTTTGGCTCGTTCCCTCCCCTGCAACATTTGGCTAGGCTGGGCAGGGCCGTGTACCACCTGCCGCATACCACCGGTTGAAAAGCCCTGCTATAGAACCTCCCAGTCTCTCTCTCCAAGGCATCCCATGGTCCTTATCTGGGACACCATCTACTTGGACCCATACCAGTCGGGCTTCAGGCCGGGACACAGCACGGAAACGGCATTGGTCGCGTTGGTTAATGATCTCTGGAGGGCCCGGGACAGAGGTTATTCCTCTGTCCTTGTTCTTTTGGACCTCTCAGCGGCTTTTGATACTGTAGACCACGGTATCATGCTGCGGCGTCTCGGTGGATTGGGAGTGGGAGGCACCGTTATGCGGTGGTTCTCCTCCTTCCTCACCGACCGTACGCAGTCTGTATTGGCAGGGGGACAGAGGTCGACTCCTAGGCCCCTAACTTGTGGGGTGCCTCAGGGGTCGGTCCTCTCCCCCCTTTTGTTCAATATTTATGTAAAGCCGCTGGGGGAGATCATTCGTGGCTTTGGGGTGGATT